TATGACATACCTACAGCAGTGGACCTGAAGCTGAGTGAAGTAACGCTTGGGAATTTTCGTGAGTTCCGCCGGAATCGTCATCGTCGTTGCCGTGATCGAAATCAAAAGCTTCCTGAGTGAACGCCCAAGGCTTGCGTTGTGTCGTCTGTCCCCAAAGCTCCCTCCTCTGTGTTGATCGCGCGCATTCATTCCCTCTCTTAGACGTTCGTGTCAGTGTGGGGAAATATGTACACGTTCAACTCATATTTTGGTGACAATATGGAAATTCTGATAAAATTTCCGGAAACTCTCGTTGATTCCTGTACGATCCTATACGGATGTAAACTCCTCTAATCAGTGGAGGAACTCTTAACCTCAACTGAGGAAAGCGAACATATTTTCCAACACTTGTTGGTGTACACCATGTGGACGGGTCTAGTGTCTTTTCTACAGAGTGTCACCAAGGCGGAATATTCACATGGCCAACGAAGCGTGTTGATGAAATTAAGGAAGTTCTGGGAACTTTTTGAGAGTTGATGTCGGTTGTCGCACACTTTTGCCCTCAAGTCGTGTGAGAATCTATGATATCGTTAGGAAACTCTTGAGCTCAGCTGAGGAAAGTGAAAATAGGTTTTAACACTTGCAGGCTTCGTATTATCCATAAGCATATAATGTCCTCCCCTCTGAGTGTCGGATTCATCGGTGGTGGTAACATGTGTGAAGCTCTGCTGAAGGGTCTGCTTTCTTCCCACATCACTGCGGAGAACAAGGTCATCATCAGCGAGCCGCTACAGTCCCGTGAAGAGTGAGTCTTGAATTCCCTCAGTGAAGACCGATGAGTGCCTCTATTTTCAGGTATCTTCGAAAGACTTATCCCGGTATTCACATCACTGCTAAAAATGCTGATGTTGTTTCCGCTCAGTGTGACGTCGTATTTGTCGCAGTCAAACCACAGTAGAGCTTCTATACCGCGAATTTAGTAGGTGAATGATCAGAAATTTTCAGGATGTTGAAGTCGGCTCTTAGTGGACTCAATTTCACTCAAAAGCCTCTCATCATATCTATCTGCGCTGGTGTATCTCTCGAGACGCTCTCGCAGCTGATGCCGAGCCAAAGGATCGTAAGCCTTGTTGTTGTTCACGTGTGTTGGTGTGGAAGGTTCGCTCAGGTTCGTGTTATGCCTAATACTCCAGCTCTCGTTGGCGCTGGGGCTTCAGCTTTCTGCATGGGAGCTTCATGTAATACCAACGGCTAAGTGATAGTTAACGCGGTATTGTGAAACAGTTTAGGGAGTTTTTAATAATGACGTCAGTGTGGGAGAATATATACATGGTTAACTACATGTGTTGGTGACAAGATAGAAATTCTGAGGAAACTTTGGGAAATTATTATTGGTTTCTGTACATTTCCACCCGAATTCGTATATAAACTCCCCTAAGCTTAGCTGAGGAAAGCAAGCGTATATTCCTCCAACACTGAACGGTGTGATTATGAATGTGGTGCCAGGCACGGAACAGGATCGCGCCCTCGCGAACAAGTTGCTCGAATGTTTCTCTGGCGTCGTCGTTGCTATTGATGAGAAACTGATCGATGCGGTGACTGGTCTCTCAGGAAGTGGCCCTGCGTGAGTTGACTGCCGCTTGGTGGTGACCACTATTTTAAGCAGTTATTTTTTCCTCTTTATTGAAGCCCTCGCTGACGGTGCGGTCCAACAGGGACTTCCTCGGGCTCAGGCGTTGAAGCTGGCAGCGCAGACCTGTGTGGGAGCAGGAAAAATGGTAATTTATTTTTTTCTTCATTTTTTCCGTCTAGTATTGTTCAGGTATTGGAGTCTGGCAGACACCCGGGTGAGCTGAAGGATAGTGTGTGCAGTCCTGCTGGTGAGAAAATAATCGCGAATGTTATTGGCTCGGACCCCGTATGATTCACAGGTACAACGATCGCTGGCGTCGCCGCCCTGGAGCGTAATGGATTCCGTAGTGCAGCTATGGAAGCAGTTAAGGCTGCCACTGAGAGGAGTAGAGAGCTTTCGAAGATATAGAATACACCTCTGATGACGAATGTGATGATGACCAATCTACTGTTCCGATGATTTTCTTGTGATGTCTTGATGCGTTGAGATATGAGGAGAACACCCGAAAGGAACTCGCCTAGTCTCATAGTGGCTGAATATAGTACAGCGTACATATAAGCTCACTAAAACTGCCGTTGTTACCTGATCGTGACTCAATAGTGGCTCATATGAGTTGGAGAAAGTTGTAAAGATCTCTGCCTATTGATTATTGGCTGCTATGCAATTGCATCAGCGAACATTCAACGATAAGAATGAACAACATTGCCTCTGATAGTGTAACAGCCATTTGTGCGTGGTCTTCATTGCCGAGCTACTCTCACTGAATCATCATCACAAGAACAGAAAACACCCTGGCCTGATGGACCATTTCCCCGTAACGGCTGCCTTGGAGAATCTGCTGTCAGTGTACATCAGTGGAGGTTTGTGGCTCAGCGATGGAAAATGAGAATATTATGATGATGCCGACACAATAAAATACTAATGAGATACGGTAAAGACGTCATAGGTAGACTATGCTGCAACGGGTTGCTTCGGAAAAAGAACCAAACACACAGAGAAATTAATGTCGCGAAGCAAGAGTAGGCTTGAGGAATGTTAAGTGGGCAAGATCGTTCGAGCAATGTGAATTCCACTACGGTGAACAATTTCCTTAGACTTTCCTTAAAATTTGATATCATTTAAGGAGATTCTCTTGGGGCTTTGACTACTATGTTGAGTTTCCCTTCGGAAGATTCCCACTTGTCTGTGGTACATCTGAAGTGGGAAAAATTAGGTGAATTTTTTTACCTCATTTTTAGTCATTTCGTTCGCGGCATGTCAGAGCAGGGCTTTGACCGACCGCCCACTGGGACAGTGGATCCCGGGGCTCAAGTGGAGGGCCTCATGTTGCCTTACCCTTCAAGAGGAATGTTCGTGAGCAGTAGTAGTACTAGTACTAGTAAAAGTAACTATAAAAGGGTTATGGTAAGAAGGCCGGTCTGAGGCGTGTTGTGAAGGGCTTCGTATTCAGGACAGTTCACTGCTGGATGAATTCGGCGTCTCAACTAACTTAGTAAGATGCCACTTGGGAAGGGTTTTATTGGTGATTATCAGGAGAGAGGCTCCAGAGTACACTCCCCAGACTATATGTGGATGATACAACAGCGTCGGCACTCTGAAGCTAATGAGGGTAGTAGCTGTTTGCCTTAGTAGTGAGGGTGAAGGTCTTTCAGTCTACCCCTCGACCCGTCGGGAGGAGTCGGGATGCTCTGTAGAGTGGATAACAAGGGTAAGTGGATACAACAGGCTTGAAGGCGAGAGTCACCATTGCAGAGTTCTGAGCCGAGTCGTTACGGACGACCCCCTCCCCCTTCTCCCCTCAGCTCAGTAGACAATCCAACACACTATTTCCGGGAATATGATGGGAGAGTGGTACCACTGATGGTGATGATGGTTGAGGAGGACATTTTCAGATGGGTTCATTCGAGAGAACGCCACTCAATTTCTATACGCACGGATGGAACAGTATTGGTAGCAGTAGCTACTCCTCATCGTCGAGCGTGGTTTCCCCTAGTATCGCTATGACTAAGTCAAACGTGTCTTCGGTAGGTTAGGAGGGGGGATGGGAAATTTTCAAGTTTATAGTTAGATGGTGTTAGCTTGTGTCCATGGGGCTCCCTCGTGGATTTGAATGGAAGTTCGGCGAGGTGTGGTATGGCTTGGAGCGGTATTTGTTAGAGGAGGCCTTCGAGCGTGCAGTCAAGTATCCTTGCGGGGAACGGGAAGCAGCTATTGGGTGCTTATGGCGGTTACTATGATCGAGAGAATCTGTGGAGGAAAAAGCATAGGAAACTGAGCAGCCACGTACGTCGTTCTCGAGTAGAGGTAAGATACGTTCCCCCGACTAGTCCTATGCTGGCTTCCACGAAGGGAGAAGTAGTGCGGTAGGGCCAGGAGAAAGTAAGCCCACGAAAACAGGCAGGTTGAGTGCTCCTGGTAGTGATCAAATCTGAGCCGGCCGCGGCTAAGGAGGAGGAAGATGGGCAGAAGCACATGGTCAGAATAGAAGGGGAGGAGTCTATTGCTGGTGAGAATGGTCAGCTGCATGCGTCGATGACAACGAGGAAATTGTGAGAATTTCTTGCTGGGTTTGTACACTTCTATTATATGTCGTAGTGTAGTATACTCCTGAGCTGAGCTGTGAAGGCAAGCATATATTACAACTCCTCCAGATGCTTGTGGTTGCCACTTGTGTGGAACTTTCATGCAGTATCGTCTCAGAGGTAGGCGGAAGGACGATAACAGTGAGGAACTTGTTGCCGATATTTTGTGTAAGTTTTGTATTTTCGGGCGCGCGCTTTTTGCTGTGACTAGCACTTTTGATATAAGTTTAGGTACTGGGAATGACAGAAGCGATGGTGGGAGTGAAGTTTGCCGGTCGGACCCAGTGGTCGGGGCTAGGGAACTTCCCGAAGCCGCGGTTCAGTTGACTGCTGGGCTGCAGTCGCTTATTGAGGTGTTGGAAGCTGATACAGGCAAGAGCTCAACAAGGGGTCTGGACGAACATAAAATTGGCGCTATCGCAGCACACAGGTGAGGAGGGTGAGTGGGCAGCTGTGTGATGAGGTGGTGGTAGGTACGATGGTGGTATGAGAGGAGTTAAGTGCTCGATATGCATGGATGAGTTGAGGGAAGGGGATATGGTCAAGTGCCTGCCATGTGTTCATAACTTCCACGCGAAATGGTAAGAACATGCTCATTCGATAGAGCTGATTAGCTTGTTGTTGTTGATCCCTTTCAGTATAGACCACTGGCTGCGAGTGAACCATCGCTGCCCTGTGTGCAAGTATAATGTGAGTCGAAGGCGATAGGAAGATGGTCCTCTTTTTTATGTTGTGGAAACAACTGTCTTTTCTGTTGTCGTCGTCGTCCACAGTTTTTTAGAGTCGTACAGTAGCCAAATTTGAGAGGATTTTTTCTGCTATAAAGTAAACCCCGCTGAGTCGATGGTGAGGCTGTTGCTATTCTTCTGTTGTGTGCGCTCATGTTGTTTGATTAAACCTGGTCTAATTTCGTGGCGCGTGATAAAGTCGCGGATAGTAAGCGATTCCATGTGGTTTCATGTGAAGATACTTGTGATCTGTGTTTGTCAATAACTAGAGAGGCACTATTCGGGCAAGTTAACTTTTTAAAGTCCGATCAAATCGAACTAGGAATGTTGTTACCACTTTCCTGTTACAGTATTCCCCCTCCCCCGAGTTTGAGTATTCGTTGTCGTTAATAACGGTAATTGTTTCCGCTGAATCGGTAGTTATGTGCGAGTTGGATCGGAATTGTGGTCGCTTAGTGGACTTGTTTTGAATCGTTTCCTGCGCCTACGTACAGTATCTTTACAGTTGTTCTCCCTCCTATTTTGGGAGTTCCTGTGAATGTGTTTTTCATCAGGCCTGAGGGCCGTAGTGGTGGCTCTAGTCGCTACAGCAAACGGAGTAAGATTACGATTAAGCCATGGTGTGGTATGGTTTCCTGTTCAGAAACTGGACCCGCCGAACTTAGCCACGAAGGTATTATACGCTCACATTGGTGACGACCCCACCAAATGGGAAGTACTCACAGCGTTCAAGCGTGGCGCGAGTCGGGCCATGCGGGTGAAACTGAGGAGCTCTTTCACAGAGAGGGTCGTACAGCCCTACTACTGCAGTATGATGGAACGTGCTCCATCTAGTGACATTGCTACCGCAATTTGCACAAAACCCGGGGGAAAACCAGCGGATAAACGTTCGGTGTATTTTCATTTTCCCACACATGAAGATGCGATGGAGTTCGCGGAGGTGTGGGGTAACCTGCATCGGTACAAAACGCCCGTCGAGCTCACCAAGGAGATACCCAATGAGGAGCAAGTCCACGAAGATTGGGATGCAGTGTTGGAAAGAACGAGGGCTAATGTCGTTGAGGCCGACGGCGAGGTGGGGAGTATTTGACGACTTTAGATTTTCCAGAGAGTTTTTGTGATAATTTTGGAGCTCTTTAGTTGGTGTTGTTTAGCATATGTGGTAGTTTTCCATAGGAGTATATAGGAATTAGTGGTTATGTGATAAGTTTCTGGAAGTTGCTCTTGGTGGTTTAGGCGAATTACGCAAGTCTAGTACGGTATGTTCGGATCGGCTCGGATCCCGACAAGTTTGTGGTGACGCACGCTCATCGTGATGGTGACGCTGGCGTACGGTTGTTGAGGTTGGCGGAAGAGAAGGCCCATTTGTGGGATCTGCAGGAGACCTTTCATTGTGATGATATTTCCGCGGAGCCCTGGGGGAAATTCGTAGAGGCGAAGTGCGCCAGGCCGGAAAACCCAAAGAAGAAATTCCTGTTTGTGATTAATTTTGAAACCCAAGATGATGCGGTTTACTTTGCTGAGAAATGGGGAGCCCCTTTCACAGCGGAGGAAGCGAGTGAGGAGGCACAGTCTAGTGAACGAGTCGATCATAGTGGCGATGAGGTGAAGGACAGTCATAGCACTGCTGAGCCCGATAGCAGCGTTGAATCATCAACTGCTGGACTTGACGATAGTAATGAGGACAAGGCTGGCGAGGAGAAGGAGGATAATTCCGATGGAGATGATGATGATGATGATAATGATGATGTGGTCCCTCCTGAGGAGACTCCTGGTGGGGGGACCGATAGTGGAGGAGGAGATGAGGACGAGGTAAGTTGGGGACTTCACTTACCGTATACAGTTTATGGTTGTCTCCTTCTAGTCTCCCGGATCTGGGTCTCAAGAAATGGAAACAGGGGAAGGAACTCAAGAGGTGGGTGTGCCTTCGACTCAAGCATGAGGTTTCTCTATACGTCGATGAGGGCTCTTCCTGTAGAGAGTATCACAAGTCGGTATCAGGAATGATATCAAACTGTGGCCACATGACTTGTCGCAACACGAAAATTGAGGGAGAGAGAGAAAAGCATTCAATTCCAGCCCTCTCGAATTTTGTCGACAGTAATTTCTGATAGGGTCAAATATGAAAATCCTACCAGTAATCGTCCGAAAAATTTCAAGTGTAAGTGATGAAATTAATCGATAAGTGTTTTCCATCATCGCGGCAACTCGTCGGTTCAGCAAGACTACTCACCTCGAGCGCTGACTGGCAACATATCTCTTCGCACAGGCCTCTAGCGACGACGTCGAACCGGCCTTGGCATCGGACGATGACTCTAATGCTTCTGAGTGGGGAAATTATTCTCAGGTGAGGCGATTATTGTCGCGGATGTTAACTATCGTGGCATGGAGTACGAGGACACATGCACATGGTCACTAAATGTGTCGGTAACAGTGTAAAATTCTAAGGCAATTTTTCTGGGAAATTCGCTCTGGTTTCTGTACTTTCCTACTCGGATTCGTAGACAAACCTTCCAAGCTTGGTTGAGGAAAGCTGGTTGGCATCAGGTCTCGCAAGCGCTTCCTATTGTTGAGGATGATTCGGCTTATGCTGAGACAGAGGGTGGTCATAGCACCAGCCGAGCATTACGCAGTGAGGAAGGAGAGCGGTCTCGAGAGGTGGGGTTGGTGATTTTTTGCACTACCATTCATTTGTCTACCATTACAGGTTCCGGAGACAGGAGCTGACGAGTATGTTATCCCTGAGAGCTTGCCGACCTTTCAAGATGTAGGAGATTTCACTACGGACAGCGACGACGAGGTAGGGGGTTCTTCTCACTTGGCGGGAATTATCGTTGTTGGCTTAGGACGATCATACGGCTGCTGCTCGACTTGCATCAAATGTTGAGGAGGAGTTCTCTGCAGGAGATGAGGTGGGCACTCTGAGTTGTGGGGTTGAAGGTATCGGACTTGTGCAGGAGACCCAAGAGGAGGAAGCTAAGTTAAGGCATTCCTCGGAGGGTAACGCGGACGGTGAGGGGCTGAAGGTAGGTGTGGGGAGAAGAGACGAGTTGTTTAATTTCACAGCGTGAATCGAACTGTTGCCAAACTCGAAAGTACGAAGGCGTGAACAAATACTGTAAGAAGATGATATACATAGTTTTATACTCTTTGAGTTTTGTAATTGAAAGAACAGTAACGAATTTTTTCACGTGAATTGAGTACTGCAATTTCAGAAACTCTACATTGTTGTATTCTCGACGTTGAAAAGTAACTTCGAAATATGGTTCATATTGCCAGACTCCTCAGGCTGATGAATCGGAAGGTGACACTGTCGATGACGATGACAGGCTCTCACCGGACAATGAGGAGGTAGGGACTGCCCGAGTGACTAGTGGGTCCTGGTTGGCACTAACAGGTTGCGCCGTCATCCGAAGTGGAGGGGAGTGATGGAATCTTCGTGCCCACTGACGAGGTTAGAAGCAGTGGTTCCTCGGGTGGTGGTGGTGGTGGTGATTTCCAATATTTCCAGGCGGGCTTTGGCACTTGTCGAGAGTTTCGCCCTCGGCATAGTTATCGGTATGGGAAAATTACCGCTTTTGATACACCAGGAAGGAGATTCAAGGCATGTCTCTGAGTGGGAATTTTGTTGGAGGGAAACGGCTCAGGTTCGGAGGCGTTACAAGAAGGAGGCGGAGGTCGCCGCGTGCGAGGAGGTGGCGGTCAGGCCCAAGCATCGAGTTGACCTCAACGATTGGCTGATTCCGGTGAAATGCACCATTGGAGGTGGCGCTGGTGCTGAGACGGTAGAGGGGAAGATCCGATGCGACTCGGAGTATGAAGCAAGAACTTTGGCCAAGCAGTGGGGCGGGTTTGATGTGAGTCGTTGAGGTCCCAGGTTCGATCCCCACAGCGTGCATTTTTAGGATCCCTCCTGGGTTCCTGGCCTATACTCTCTCCCTGGTATGGCTGGCAATAGCATGCGGCTGCCAGATGGAGTCGATAGTAGCAGCAGTGGATCGTGGTACTCCTACTCTCAAGGCTCGTGGGGGAAAGACGTAAGTCTCTACTACAGTCTTTACACGACAGTCTTTTTTTCAGAAGCATGGCGATCAGATATTGACAGATTCCCCACCGTCAGGGGGCGAGGTGAGTGCGGCTTGCTTGATCTACTCGTGGTATGGCGCAGTGTGGAAGAATATGCACGAAGTCAACTACATATGTTGGTGACAATATAGACATTTTGCGATTTTCTTGTTGTTTTTTTTGTATTTTTACCCGAACTCGCGGGTGGACTTCTATAATTAGTGAGAAAACTAAACGTGTATTCCTCCAACCGTATGGTGGATCTACGGTGGTCGTTGTTCTTGCAGTCCTGCAAAAAATTGATAGCCGATTTCTCAAAGGGTGAGGCTGATGATGTTATTGACTTTGACATACGCAACAGAGAGCTAACGGTAGGGTTGAAATATTCTGCATTCCTCTTGCGAGGTCTGTGCCTTAGGTGTTGCCTGGTGGAATGATACATCCACTGCAGTTGAGATGCGGTGAAGTGGAGGTGCCTCCAGAAGGAAAGGGCGCTACTTGGCTGGTCCGTGTGGATTGTCGAGACTCTCAAGGTGGGGTATAAGGCAACTACCAGTGCTGATAACAAGACAGAAGTTCTCCCTGGTTTTTGTACATTCTACTCGGAGTCGTATATTAATTACAATATATGTATACAACTATAATTCGAACGATCCAGGGGGGAAAGCTCATAGATTCTGACTCGCCATGTTCTGCTTTATACCCTGGGGTGAAAATCTATCAGGGAGTTTATCCCACTCTCGATTTGACACCCGTGTACACAAGAGTGTATTACTACTACTCATTCATTCATTGAGCGCTTAGATCCAACTATGGGACATGCGCGCTGCGAATAAAAGTAAATTCATACCACTTCCCTTTATCCAACGCAGTGTTCCGGATACACTTCCATCTTCCATGACGATCCTCAACGTCCCTTCTGACTAACTTCATCCATTTAGAATCAGTCTCGACTTTCGATTACCACTACCACTACTACTACTACTGTGATACATGTGCTATTACATTATAGTGTGATCTTGTAGTTTGCAGAGGGGAAATATATACTGGAGAGCGCCAGGTTGTGATCGATCAGGTCATGGTCGGTCTGGTGGAGGAGTGTTGGTATGCGGACGTCGCGAAGATGCTGAGATTTTGGCCAGGACTTGGGGTGGTTTTAAAGTGAGTTGTTATTGTTAACGATTCTTGTGATCGATGATCCAGGGAGAGGCCGGTCTTGGCACCCAAGGGAGCGCAGCGCAGTCTTCTGGATGGTTCCAATATGTTGTTATGTACCACAAGCAGGAGAGTAGAGCCTCGTCTACTACTACCACAACTACTACGACTACTACTACAACCACACCGGCTCCGACGACCACGTCTTGGTGGTATAAGTTCAATTACTTCTCGTGGTCGGGCTTCACAGCGGTATGAGATATTCTATCATGTCAGCTGGGATGTTGTGTGCTTCAGCCTGTCACCACCTCAACTACGACTACAACAACGACAACGACAACGCCCACCACTGCTACCACTACGCGGAGGGTGGGGATTGGAGTTGCGATAGAAAGACACTTATGTCCTTTTTCAGTCGTTCCTGGGCAGCTGCCAGGAAGTAGTTCGTCTGTCTGCTCCCAATGAGATGCCTCAGCAGATAGCCGATTTCGCATTTGCTAATCGCGGACTGCGGGTGAGTCTTTGGTGATGTTGGTGGTTGCTATGGGAAGATGTGCAAAAAATCAACTATGTGTGTTGATTGCAACTAGGTAGATCTACGGAATTCTCGTTGGTTTCGTGTGTGAGATAGTGAATAAACTCTCCCGAGCTTAGGATTCATAATGCATTGTTAGTGAAAAGGCCGCCCTCTAGCCCTCTTTGAATCCGCCATAGTTGATTAAGTGTTGTAGATATCACCTTGGGGTGCCAAGGGTGGCCCTGAGGAGTTCCTGACCTGTGACCCGGTCCGAGCCCCACCGGCCAAGGAGAAGGATGGTCGTTATCGCGTCTCAGCCAGCTGCTACATGGCAGCCTCATCTAGGATGTATGCCTACGCTGAGGAGGAGGGTATAGTGTGTGGATCATATTGGGATGCCCAGCTGCTGGCAGTCATGTGGGGAGGTTATGAACCTGTAAGTTTGGGAACTACCCGAATCGATCAATGGTCTGGATGGTGAAATAGATGTTCATTATCCTAACCTGAGCTCAGCAGTTTGCTCACTATACAAGTCGGGTAAGAATGTACATAAACCAATAAGAATTTTCCAAAATTTTCTCAGGAAGTTCATGTGGTTAAACATGTGCTTATTTTCCCACATTGGCAGTGACATGTGTTCTCGTTATTTTTTCAAGAGATCCCCACCAACCGAGCCGCCACCCACGACTACGACTACGACTGAGGCACCGAGGGTTCATAGGCAACAGTCCTCGTGGTGGATGGTCCATGCCTCTGGAGGATATACATGGGATAACCCTCCTACTGTGAGGCCTCATGTGCTTTCTGATGACGACTCACACGTTGTCTGTCAGCCGCGGCCGACTACTACTACCACCAGCACAACTACTACAACCACGCGGAAACCCAGGGTGAGTTGATCTGAAGTCGCTGCTTATATAATGGTGTCTCTAGTCGCGGTATCCCACCTGCGAGACCATGCGGCCCGACTGGTCCTACGGCGAGGCAGTAGACGAGGTCGTTGATTTCGTAGTGTATGGCAGACAGCTACAGGTGAGTTTAGATTCATGATGGGGTCGTAGAAAGCAGTGATAGGTACGTCCTTCCTATGCGGATAGCGTTATGTCGCTGATCTGTGAGCAAGTTATGGAGCTTCCGATGAGGCATGGGGCTGCTGCTGCTGCCTACCAGCCGGAGCAGTGGTCGGTGCCTGTGAAGTGTGGTGATGCTGAAGGTGAGTGTTTGTTTGGTATGGTTCTGCTAAGTTGATAATTGTGGACAGGTCAAGGGTTTGTCAGTCAAGGGAGAATCTATTGTGGATCTTATTACGATGCTCAACTACTTTCAATACAGTGGGGCGGATACAGAGCGGTAAAAATAGCTGACTACTTTCCGAGTTCATGTCTTCATGTCAGCAGACTACGACCACTACTACGACAACCACCACTACTACTACGACAACCACAGCGGCGAGGGTTCATCAGCGATCTTGGTATTACTACTACTCTGGCTATGGCTCCCGAGCAGCGGTAAAATCAGGCTGTGGGTCGAACTTGGACTCGGTAGCTCTATAGGTTCCCCAAACGACTACTCATGCTCCCACGACTACGACGACTACGACGACTACGACGACTACGACCACTGCTACGCCTAAGGTGGCTGTACTATTGATGAATCTTGATGAGATTTGTTCCTGTTGCTCAGAATCGCTTCGGGAGCTGCACCCGTATGCAGTTCGGAAGTGTATTCACGATGACCACTGGCTCGTATGATACTCTACTCGACGCTGTATCGGCTAGTCGTGAACTGAAGGTGGGTAGAAGTCCGCTGATCAGGAACTCGATCACGTTTTAAAGGTCGCACCAGTTGGCAGGAGAAGAACCCGGTCGATGTCTTGTGATAGAGTTACACTAGATCCTACACCGTGGCGAGGAAATTGGTATGTGCCTGTGGAGTGCCAGAATAATGAAAGTGAGTGGAGATCATAATCGCCTTGTTGTGGCCATGGTTGTGAATGTTGTTGGTTCAGATCCGGGAAGCTATGATAACGCCAACGTCGTATGTGGATCTTATTGGGAAGCGGAGATGTTCGCCGTCCTGTGGGGAGGCTATGAACCGGTGAGTTCACTGCTGTTGTTGTTGTTGTTGTTGTTGTTGTTGTTGGTGGTGGCGGTGGTGGTCTCAGCTCAAGTTGTAGCGAGTGTAGCTGTTGTAGGAGTAGATTGGATTCAAAGTTATATATTGTCAAACAATCGGCAAATATTTGG